GATCGAGGTCATCTTACTCTTAATCACACCGACACCCGTCGCTCCTGCCTCTCCCCTAGTAGAAGTAGTGGTCCCCTGACTCGTCGCCCTATCCCCAGATCGCCATCATCGTCTTCTCCCCCGGAGGCAAATCCTTCTCCTTCGGCAACCCCGTCGTCGAGCCCATTGTCAACCGGTTCTTAAATCGGCTCTTCCTCCTCCAAATCGAATAAGCCCTCAAAGTAGGTTTCCCGAACTCGGCTCCAGATTTGGTCAAAATTGGACAATTTCTCTGTGTCTTCATAGCAACTTGCACGATCTTGTTAATGACCTTAGGGACTTGTCCTTTGGCCAAAAAACATTCCAATATGTAGATTAACTCTTGTACGTCAATGGATAACTCTCCATTTGAATTTTCACTGATCCAATGGTGAGATATGAATCCCCAAACTAAGCACCATGAAACCAGTTTAACACTTTGTCAAATTATGTCTCTCTTCTTCTCAACTTTGATTGCTCTTTAGCAGGTAATAAAAACTTATGTACTTGGCTACTTGGGAATATATCACACTTGATGTATTTTGGAAAGAAAAATATATTTATAGAGGTGGTATAAAAAAAACTAAAGTGCATAATATCTATCATCGCAAATTTTTTGAGCTGAAACGTATCAAAATATATATTATTTGTAGATTAAAATTAATTTATTTTCTGAAGTTTGAGATAAAACGAAGAATACAAAATATCCAATTAAAAAAAATTGTGTATTAAAAAAGTCATTGGGATCCCAATCATTTGTGTAATTTGTGTAATGAAAGATCTCGAGATTGATTATAAAGTTTGCATAATTCTGAGGTTATGCAATCCAAATCCGACTTAAAATTGTCAAATCTTCATGCACTAGAAGGGAAAAGAACTATGTAAAAGAAACTAAACTTGTATTAGAGAAAAAGTAAATGCAAGATTTTTAATAAGCATGTATGAAAGCAAAAATAGAAGTATGTCAAAAATAAAAAGAATGGATTGAAATTGCATCAAATGAAAATTCATTGTACATTTTTAAGAAATATACATCAATGCTCCGTCATTTTATCAGGGGCATTGCTATCCGTCGCCCTAAAACACCTTCTTCGTCACCCTAACTTTTATTAAAATGACTCAAATAACCTTAACTTAATTCTTATCTTTCAAAATTTATATAAACACTAAAACAAACCCATACAGCTATAAGCCTATACTCAATAACAAAATAAAATATCAAAAAACAAATTAATGAATTACAAGTTACAAATACACCAAAATAACAAACAAAAAAAATTGAAAACCCAATCACGCCGGAGATGGATTTTCACCCTTCCGACGCCTGGAAACAAACAAAAAAAAAATGCACACTTCTTGTATTCTACACCATTTCTTCTTCATCAGCAGGCCCTACGGCTATGCCAACCAACCCACTACAATTTTATTTATGATGCAAAGATAATTTACCAATAGAAGAATCCGGCATCAGCAGTAGGCAAGCAGCGATGGTTGGATTTAGGTGGCCAGTGGGCTGGAGAGAATAATTATCAGCAGCAGGACAAAGGAGTTAGGCGGCGGTATTCTTCTTCGTCTTCTTACTCCTCTGGCTCGATCCCAGCAGCGAGCACCAGCGGCGGTTAGGTTGAGGCGGGCAGCTGCCGGAGTGAAGAATCCCACAGTGACAGCAGCGTCGTGGTTGAGGTCGGCGGCGGTTAGCAGGATAACGGATTGTTTGTTTCGGGAAATTGGGGTGAAAGGGTAAGATTGCCAATTTGGTGCATTTTAGGGCGATAAAATTTGAATTTTAGGGCGACGAATAGCGATTCAGTTTAGGCGAATACTTATGTGTCAAAAAGTTTCTCACAACAATAGTAATATAAATTAAAATAAGATAAGATTCTAAATATTTACCCTTATAGAGCATTTGGACAAGTGTATTTCAAATATAATATATTTAAAATGCATGTATTTGAAATGCTAGTATTTGAAATACATGTAATTTGAATTCTTTACTCGGATATTCATTTGTAATTTGTTGGTATTTTAGTTTTTTAATTGAATTTTGAATTTTCTAGCAACTCATTACAAATTCTGGTAAATTACATTTTGGTATTCAAATTTATTTTTTCTTACAATTTAATGTCTAAACTTTTAAACTTTCACAAAAAAGGTCCATGAATTTTGGTGGTAAAATTAAATTTTGATAATTTTATGTATTTTATAGTACCTAAACTTTTAAGTATTTGCAAACAGGTTCAATCTCTCGTTAGAAAGAATTTCAAATTACTAGTTGTTGAAATATATTTGAAATTGACAAGTAATATACTAGATATGTATTTGAAAAACACCCCATATATTTGGCACAAATTCAAGTACCATATATAATTAATATCCAAACAAATTATTTAACATCTGAAAATTCAAATATCAAATCCTAAATAGGGATGGCAATGGGGCCGGTTGGGGGTGTGGGGGGGGGGGGGGGGGCGCCTAAACCATCTCATCTTCGCTTTTGAATATTCATACTCATACCCGTGGGTTTCGGGTACCTATGGGTGATACCCGCATCGTACATCCGATATTATAATACCTAAATTTTACAAGTAAATTTTCGAATATAATATTAAATGCACCTATTATATCATGAAGCTGACAAAGAGACAATCATTCTTTAATTGGCTCAAAGCATCTTATACTTAAACATCTATTAATTCATAAGATACAGTACAATGTAATTCAAATCATTATTATCTGACTTTGATACATCTACTAAGTAAAAACTAACTAACATAATCTTGTTAACTCGAGGGGAAAAAATCGAAAGAGTGAGAGGAGAATTGAGGATAAGGAATTAGGTTTTGATTAGGGTGGCCACTCAATTGCATTTTTACTATTTATTTTCTTGAGGTACCCTCACTATCATTGACACATCACAATTTGATCCATGTATTTTTTATAAGTGAAGAAATACTCTTGATGAGGCGAGTATGAGTATGGGACGAGGGAGGCTAAAACCACACCCGCCCATACTCATCAAACATTTTGGGGTTTTACCCATACCCAGTCAAAGTGGAGATTTTCCGCGTTAACTGGGTCGATGGCGGTCGGCTACCCGTGGGCATGGGTTTGATTGCCATCCCTAATCCTAAAATCTAAACAAATCATTAAAAAAAATCTATTTGACTCCACTTGCCGAAAACGGGCCGGGTATAGGGGTGTCAGTTCGGGTCGGGTTTAGATATCCGAATCGAAACCCGAAACCGAAATCACTGAAACCCGAACCTGATAAGGATTTTTGGTTTTCGGTTACCCAAAACCCAAAAATTCCTTATCGGGTTCGGTTAAAGCAAAACCGAAACACGAAAACCTGAACGCCTAAGAATACATGCTGAGTTCTATTCTTTGGAGGTTTTCAGCCGGAACTCAAAAAACCGATAAGCAAAACTAAACCCGAAACCAAAAAGAAACCCGAACCAAAAAAATCGTAAATGTATCTAATCAGGTCGTTTTCGGGTAAACCCGAAAAACCGAACCGAATAGACACCCTAGCCGGGTATCAGGAAAAAGGGGCAAGCCGCACAGGCCCAGTTATTGGATTGAGAGCAGGACGGGTCCAGATCGGGTGAGTAACTGATGGGTCAGTAACCCATCAGTAACCCCTTCCCTGGTCCCCACGTGTTAGTCACTTTTTTATTTAAATTAAATGTGAAAAGGGCAGTGCAGTAAAATTGCACTTACTCCTATTTATTGCTTATGCTGATTTTTGACCGGACCACATCAGCGCCTCATTCTCTCTCCTCGCAAAACATTTAATTTTCCTTCTCTTAATCTTTAATGGACGATTTCTCACTCGTTTTAAGTTGAAATTTAATTTTTTTTGCACAATTAGATCAGATTAATTGTGCTCTTCAAAATGATATCCACTTTGATATTTTTTGGACACAAAAAATTTTGTCAGTTATTACCAGTCTATACCATATGGTATTGACTGGTATTAAATAAGAGCATGTCATATGGTATGAAATTTTTTGCCACATGAATATATATTTCGTTACCACCCAATACCATATGGTATAGTGTGGTAATATCAATATATATTTCGTTACCACCCAATACCATATGGTATAGTCTGGTAATATCAATATATATTTCGTTACCACCAAATACCATATGATATAGAGTGGTAATACCATATGGTAGAGAGTGGTAATACCAATATATATTTCGTTACCACCCGTTACCATATGGTATAGTGTGGTAATATCAATATATATTTCGTAACCACCCAATACCATATGGTATATAGTGGTAATACCAATATATATTTCGTTACCACATAATACCATATGGTATGTGTGGTAATAAATATATTACCTAAAAGAAAGGGGGAAAAAACAAAAGGAGGGAGTGAAAAAAAACTTGTCTTCTGTCTCATCTCATTTCATCCGCAACCAAAGAACACCAAACGCCAAAAAAGGAGAAAGATCGAAATTAAAGCCAATGAGTTGATGAAGAGAAGAAACGCAATTAAAGAGGGTGACTTCAATTTTTATTCGTCGATTGCTAGAGAAAAAAAATGAAGATGGAAGAGAGCAGATCTAGATTTGAAAAGGAAATTGTAAGAGAAAAAGTGAGAGAGAAGGAATAGAGAAAGAGAAAGGATATGGAAAGAGATTGGGAAAAAGGAAGAGAGAAGGAAGAAAGTAGAGTTGCAGAGAGTAGGTCATTCTCTCTCAAGAAAGGATCTGGAAAGAGATTGGGAAAAAGGAAGAGAAAAGGAAGAAAGTAGAGTTGCAGAGAATAGGTCATTATATCTCTTTCATTGAAAAGCCAGTCATTGAAATGCGGAATAAATAAATAAAAATACAAAAACGGACAAAAATGCCCATCCCCACCTCCGCGTCCAGCCAACCACACGATTGCTCCATCCCCAGATCTACGACTCCCGTGTGGTTACTGATAGGTCAGTAACCCGTGGTTATTGACCCTATCCCTGGTTACCGACGATATCCCAAGCCGAGCAGGACTAAACGCGTCTTCCCCATTCTTCCCTGCTCACTCAGTCTTCCGCCCTCCTTTTCCTTTTCGAGTTCGGAAGCAGCAATCGTAAAAGACACAAACTTGGCCTTTTCTCTTTCTTCTGGACAATGGGCAGCTGAACTCTCCGTGGGTTATTCGGACACAGGTTCGAGCGCGACAATGTTCTTCCACATCGTATTGGAGAGGAACATGCAGTTGCACCCTCGCCACTTCGGTCGCAACCTTCGCGATAATCTCGTATCCAAGCTCATGAAAGACGTTGAGGGAACTTGCAGGTTTCCTCTCCTTTAATTCCCTAATCGTGGTTTCGTACCTCTTATCATCGCGCTTGTCCCTTTTCCCGCTCGATTTTGCTGGCATTGCGTTTGGTTGCGAAGAAAATCTTGAACCACAAGCAGTGGCTTAGGTTTTGAGAATCCGTAATTTGGCCTCTCGTCGAGATAGGCTTACAAGATAATAAATTTCGAACGATTCGCATAGCTAAAATGGAACTTTGATGGTTTTTAGGATCAGAATTAACTGTAACTTGACTATGAAGTAGGCAGGCCAGGAGTCGAGGTCTCTCTGGCAGTTTGGGCCATAAAATTTTGATGAACCTGATGGGACAAGGTTTCTGGTTCTTATCTATATATATCTGTAGCTAGGAAGAGTCTTAAATGAAGAGTCTTTTTTTATCTTTTAGTTCAAGTTAATTCTGATACCATTCTAATCGAGCACCTTGGTTCAAACATACTAGTAGTTCAGATCACTCTGGCTATGGATCTTCAGTGACTTTGCTGCTGTGATTAGATCTCCCTTTCTTTCTCATATAATTTCAAACAATTAGGTTCTCTTCACCTTGAGATGAATTTTGATTCCATTTAACATGTGAATAAATGAGTGTAAGAAATTGATATTATGACTTAGGAGCAAGCTTCTCATGTCTCATATTTTGGATCTTGGCACTGCACTGACACAGATGGTTTTAGTTTTTATTGAGGGTCAGATTCTAGGCAATGTTCCCGTCGCTGTGAATGAAAAATGTCCATTTCAAATTGGTTTCAGTTACTTGGAACACCTGGCTTGTCTAAATGGTTCTGATGTATTTCTCGTGATCAACTGTTTCGTGCTTACTGCAGTGGTAAACATGGGTTCGTGGTAGCAATAACAGGCATAGAAAACGTTGGAAAAGGGTTGATCAGAGATGGTACAGGTTTTGTGACTTTTCCAGTAAAGTACCAGTGTGTTGTCTTCAGACCATTTAAGGGCGAGATCTTAGAAGCTGTTGTCACCATGGTAAACAAGGTGAGTGGTTGTCTCTCGTATGGCAATGATTCAGTTAATATTTCATGGATCTTACCCTTGGAGTGTGTTGATCTTACATTCTTTGATATATTACCTTGCAGATGGGATTTTTCGCTGAAGCTGGTCCAGTGCAGATCTTTGTTTCAAACCATGTAAGTTGTATAAGTTGATCGACTGTGTGATATGTTGTTATTGAAGACATTTGATATTTTTCTTGTTGTTGGGCTTCCTCTTACATGGGAACTGGAGGATAGAGCATGGTTGTTAAGATCGAAGAAATTTTCTAATTCACATTTTAGCATTCTTAACATCCGCATATTTACTTGAGCTGTTTTTGGAACTTGAAACACAAACTTTGTCGTTCTAAGCTTCATGTATCTGTGTTTGTAGGATCTCTTCTTAAATTGTCTAAGAACTTGATGAGCGAACAATGATTTACCCTAATAGTATGCATCTACTATATGCAAGTTGGTGCTAATATTTTCTTTTGGTTCTGTAGTTGATACCTGATGACATGGAGTTTCAGTCTGGAGATATGCCAAACTATACAACTTCTGATGGATCGGTTAGCTTCTGTGATCTACTTGTTTATGAAAATGAATGCATATACCATTCTCTACATCACTAATTTCTTTTCCTTTACTTTTGCTAACACTCCAGATTAAGATCCAAAAGGATAGTGAAGTGCGTTTAAAGATTATCGGGACTCGTGTTGATGCTACAGAAATCGTATGTTCTTGAATCCTCCTTTCAGTTAGACCCCCTTAATTTGTGCCTAATGCGCATGCCACTGGTTTATGAATATATCTGGTATGGGGAAGTCCTACGATTGACAATGTGAATTTGTGCCTATTGCTCATGCCTCCGCTTTATGCATCCATCTGGTATGAGGGAGTCCTGCGGTTGATAATGTACTTCGAACTAAATTTGAATGTCATTGAATTAATTTGCAGATAAATTAAATATTGTAAATTAATCACTTTCCAAGAGCTTGAAACTCTAACAACAATACCTAGCAAATAAGCTTTTAGCTATCTAAAATCAAGGAGACGTGTTTCTCCTTGCTGTTTATCTTGGGTCTATCCTAATGTTCATGAACTTAGGAGGTTTACTAATAGAACCTCCGTTGCATCAACAGTTCTGCATCGGTACGATAAAGGATGACTTCTTGGGCGTGATCAACGATCCTACGGCCTGATAGGGAAAGCTGGGGCGTGGTAGTTGTAGATCTGAGCTTTGTTTCTTATAGTTGTATGAGCACCAGGCTTCTGATGCAGACCATCGAGCATGGTGGCACCCGCCTGTACTTCTTGTCTTGAGCAAGCTCTGTAATTTATCGTGGGAAAGTAGTTCTATGTGCTTGCAGGGAATGAACTTTATCTATGTGTTGACAAAGCCTGTTATTTGTTCAACTCACCTCAGCGACCATTAGAAAGGCTTTGTCCATGTTGGATGGTTCTTGAGAGTTATTTTAAGGCCCAAGATTTTCGACTGGGGTCGAGTTTTTGGCTTTACCTATGTATTAGTTTGAGCTGCATAATTGTTGCAGTAGCTTGTAGAGGAAGTTGGATAATTGAGGTTAGGGGTTGTTTGTCGATGTGTACACTTAATGGTGAATCAGAGTGTTGTAACTGTTATCATATTTAAAAGGGTATTCAGTTGTCTCACTCCCAGATTGTATAGAGATCCCAAGATCCAATATCTGTTTCTTTCTCCAATTTCAAAATAAGATAGGGTCAATAGCATTTTGGGCACTTATAGTATTGCAAGTTTTTTTTTTCAATAGTTCACTTGCATTACCAAGGAAGAATAGATAACAAAGTTTATGTTTGTTTCATTGATTTGAAAATTGAAGGTTTTAGCAAAACTTAGATTTTGTAAAACCATGGATATCTGAGGGTTTTGGATTCATTATGGACTTGTAAAATATCATTGTTTGGTCAATTGATTTCATGATGGATTTGGTTAATTAAATTTGTGTGCATAAAGTAAAAATGACCTATACTGCCCTCATTGGTATGATATGAGAAAGATAATAGGATGGGTAGTTTGGTCATAAATGATGGATTTTGAAGTCCATGATCAAGTCCCACCTAATGAGGTGGAACTTTCAAGTCCGTGGGACCCACGGATTTGGACCCTTAAAATCAATGGGTCATACGGATTCGTTGACACATAATACATGAAACAAGTAATGGAGTTTGGACAATGTCCATGATAGATCCAAATTCATCATCAAATCCATCACCAAATCCATCAAACATAATCTAAAAAATAAACCGTTGTTGAAAATCAAAACTATCAACACTTGTAGGCAACAAAGAAAGGGACTTCCTAGCCCTACTAGGGATGACAATGGGTCGGGTTGGGTCGGGTTTTGCCAAACCCAAACCCAAACCCATGGGTTTATCTTTGAAAAAAACCCGGGGTAAAACCCACTGGGTTTGAAAAACTCAAACCCAACCCAACCCGTTGGGTATCCGCGGGTTCATGGGTACCCACGGGTTTTGTCGTAAAAAATTTACAATTACAAGTTCTTATCAAAATTAAAGTCAAATATCAATCTCTCAATACAAATTATCCATATATAAAACACCATTCTAGAAAATTCAAGCAAATCACAAATTAACTATACAAATTGTTCAACACCAATCTAGAAAACTCAAAAAAATTGAAGCAAATCACAAATTTTCCATAAATAACATGTTTAATTGAAAGTTTCTTCCTTTCAATTAAGTTTCTTTATTCTCCACTCCATAACATCAACTTCATTCTACACAATTAAAAAGAAAAAATTAGACATGTCTCCACAACATAAATAAGATTAGTTGTTTAGAATATTAAATATACCGAAAAAATTAATTATATGAGTGAGCGGGTACCCACGGGCCGGGTTTACCTAAACCCAAACCCAACCCAACCCGTTGAATAGTGAACGGGTTTCAACCCAAACCCGGCCCAAAACCCGTCAACACGGATTTTACGCGCGTTGACCGGGTTGGGTCGGGTGGGTACCCGTGGGTTCGGGTTTTGTTGCCATCCCTAGCCACTACATGTGCCACCCAATTGTTAATCCTGCCAACAAAAGAAATGTCAAGAGACTGAAACTGCTACCAAGACTTGCGATCTCCACCAGAATTTTGCCGCCCCTATTATCCTGCACGCCCCCTACCCTAATTTTATTGATCACGTTTTGAGCATCATCATATAATACAACTTCAACTAGACCCTTTAGAGAGCACCATTGGATTGCACCCCTAAAGGCCACCAATTCAACCAAGGTCGGATCCTGCAAACCATCATAATAGAAACCTTTGACAAATAAAATGTTCTCCATTCCATCCATCACGAATAGAGCCCCTTACATCCCTAAAATGTTCTAGTATTGCAAGTTTACAAATGTAACTCTCTACTACGTAACAAATTTAGCATTATGTCCGTTAAAAGGCTTGCAAAATGTATATATTATCTCTTTATTGTATAATAATGAATTTTCATAAAATATTAATTAAATAAATAAATTTTAAATTATTCTTTACAATTATCTACCCTTCTCTATCGACAAATACCCTCACCCCTCTATTGTAATAGAGTAAAGACTCGATAGCTCCTACTTTCCCTCACAAATTTCTTCCGCCGCCGCACCTATGTAATCCGATCAAGAATCTAGACACTCTCACACCTCGCTCAACGAGGCTAAACCCGCGTCACCAACTTATTGTAAGGATCTTTATTGATGAATCTGGCGAAAGAGATGAAGAATGGGCATGGAGGATTTACAGAGGATATATGTGGTTTCTATCAAGCTACAGGGAAAGTAAAAGTAACTAACAGTTTCACAATTGGTCAAAAGATACCCCTCTCTTCACAGTTGTAGCTATTTATACTAGTCTATCTATACACGTCATCCGCTTGGGTTGTTACAAACCCTCCCTCTTCAAAGACAGCTTGTCCTCAAGCTGTGTGCAAGACTAGAAAGGAAGGGTATGCGCCATGAAGGATTGGTAGAACCACAAGAATTCAAGCACCCAGGAAGCAGTAGCATTAAGAGGAGATAATGACAATTGACAACATGTCCCAAACCTGCAGATGCCCTGAGTAGGAACCCCAGCAAAGACCGCTGCTTGCCTAATATGGATATGTAGAAGAGCATGTATTATGTCCAATTTGCTAACAAGGACAAGTAGCTGCAGCAAGTTGCACACCAGCAAAACAACACAACTGCACCTGCTACCAACCTGTCCAGAGTCTGTGAAAGATCCAAAGACATAGCAATATTACATGCATCCATAATGTTCGTCTTAGTCAAAGAAAGCTGAGTTTGAAGAGCATCCAACACGGTATCATTAGAGCTTCGTGTAAGCTTGAGGGACAGTAGAAAATTAGGTCTCAGTATCACAACCAACTTGCAAGAACTCTCGAAATTCATGAAGTTCAGTTCTGGATGTTGACTCCTATTATAGTAGTTGTACATCAACACAACCACATGAATCTGTGTGGCTATGATGTCTTCATCAGCTAAAGATGGTGTGAATCCGGATCCAGATTTTGTCGGCAGCTTGAGGTCAACCAAATTATCAAACAGTGCAAGAATGGCCTCCTTGGTCTGGCAAACGTCAATTCCCTCCATGATCCAGACACAACGACTCTTACCCTGTCCAGAGTTTGTTGCCAGGCTCTTAATCAAGCCCAGAAGCTGCTTGAACACCAATGCTTCGTGAAGCCAAACTGCGTAGGGTTCTTCGAAGCTACAAACAGGGCCTCTCCACTTAGACCCAAGAGTAACACTAACAGATTACAACACCAGAATTTGAGACCTCCCTTAAATTCACAATGACATCCCAAGGTCGAGACAGACAAGCGATTGATCGATAATCACAATCATTATATGGGCCTTTGAAATCAGCAGAAGTCCTACTTCCATGAAAATGTCGAACGATGCCATAGTAAGTTGGGAAGATGCGAAATTTGTAACCCCAACTGGCATTGCCGGACTTGATAGGGCAACCAAAGAATCCAAAAACAAACTCAGTAGGACAAGGAACACCAAAAACGAAAGCGTCCTTGTCAAAAGTCAGGGGCTTTCCCTGTGTTTCTTCTTCTTTATGTTGAACTCCTATTGCTTTCTCCATCATTTCCCTTTCCTCTCCCATTCTCGCCATCTCTTCTTTCTGTTGCATCTTGAACTCCTCTTTCATCCGCCTAATTTCCATAGCTCTTTTTGACTCCTTCTTAGGCTCAAATCTTGTCAATATGAACTCAGGAACTTCCCACAAGAAGCCCATATAAGGCGTAGGCAGTTCTGGTTTCTTAACAGGAGGTGTGACTATGCTGCTACTACCACTAGAGGCAGAAGGAGAAGCTGTGGCATCTGAATCCACAAGCCCGCCTCCATGCCGATGCAACTCTCCAACCACAATAACTCCCCTATCTCCAATCCCTCCTCCGGCTCATTCACCGCCACCTCCTCCTACAACTATGCTGCTACTACCACCAGGAGAAGAAATTGTAGATAGGGAAGCAGAAGACAGCGAAATAGAAGAAGGCAATGCAATCGGTGGTGGTTCTTGAGAATAAAAAATTGGGCTTGAACTCCCAGAGAAGAAACAACAGACAGAATTAGGGATTTCGGTGTTGGTGTAGACAAGTGAGAAACCCAATTGAAGGTTGGAGAAAGGACCTGGTGGTCGGCGATCGAGGCAGGTTGCCCGGAGACGGTGGAAGAAAGAACCCACACACGAGGATCCAGAATCAACGACCGACGCGGTGGCGGATTGAACTGATGTGGATCGGCGATCAAAGTGTAAGTCGTGTGCCATGGAGAACGAATCAGAGAATCATCTCGCCGTTGCTCCAACGAAGCAGCAAGAGCATCGATGGAGGCCTTCGTCGAAGCCGCAAGAGCAGCAATGGCGGCCGTCAGATCCCGGTGCCGTGAGTCCATCTGCTGCTTGATGGCCGCCATTTGAGTTTCCAAAACAAGGATTCGTGTGGTGTTGGTAGCCATTGCCAGATTACAGGCTCTGAATACCACTTGTAAGGATATTTATTGATGAATCTGGCGAAAGAGATGAAGAATGGGCATAGAGGATTTACAGAGGATAGATGTGGTTTCTATCAAGCTATAGCTAAAGCAGGGAAAGCAAAAGTAACTAACAGTTTCACAATTGGTCAAAAGATACCCCTCTTCACAGCTGTAGCTATTTATACTAGTCTATCTATACACGTCATCCGCTCGGGTTGTTACACTTATTCTTAGATGACTGTTCTAACCCCTATAACTAATAACAAAAGTACCTCAATCTGATTCGAGCTGAACCTTCGATACTACCAGTCAAATGGCAAAAGTGCAGCGGTGGTAGCGAAGGCAACTTCGTAAAGCTCAAGATGAGGACGGATTCGGGGAGATGCTGTAGAACTTCTCCACGAAATCATAGCACTGGGGAGGTTTCGACGACTATTAATCAGTTGCACAGGTTAGAGCACCAATTTCTCTATAGAAATCGGTTGCATGGCTATAGATTGGTAATTGTGCTCGTCACTTGGGAAGCTAAGCTTGGAGGATGATTCACATACGAGTTTATACTGACGACAATTGGCTCAATACGGCCGAGAACATAGACCGTGAACTCAAGCTGAAGATCACGGCCTGGAAGCACCAGATCGCGGCCACGAATTGGAGGACTCAGGGAGCGAACTTCGCG